TGTATATATAAATACACACACATGCATGTATATATTTTAGAAAATATGTTGTTTATATATTAAATATATTTATATATAATATAAAATATAATAATATGAATATGTAAATGTATATGCATGTAAATATTTACTGTATGTGTGTGTATTTATATATACATAATAAATATACACAGTACACACACATATACTATGCAAACAAAAACTTTTATTTTGAATGCGATTAATTGATTAAGAGAAATTTACTTGTATGTCACTTTCGGGAATATTTTGTAGAAATTTTAAAGATATATATATTTTATTTTATTTTTATTTATTTTTTTGGTGAAAATCAGATGGTAACAGGGTTGTGCACAAAACTACTAAAAACATATATGTAAATACATTAGTTAATAATTTAAAATAGATTTTGAGTTGGTAGAGTTGAATATCAATGCAACAGATTTTACTATTATGATTTAGAAAATTATTATTATTTTATTTGCACTATTTTGGACATATTAAATTATTACCCTGCATGATTTAAAATATTTTTTGGGACAGTGCAAAAGCAAAGACATCTTATAGATATTTTCTGTATTTAAAACTAGAAACTTGTCATTGACTCAGATACTGTATATGTGAAATGCTGTACTGTACATCCATGATGGTTATGAATGATAAATGATGTGATTATGGCTCTTCTGTGTTTGATGAGATGAAGGACTTCATGTGGAGAGTTTTATATGCAGTGCAAGTTTTTAATTTAATATTCAGCTATCATAATAAATTATTGCTGTTTAACTCTGTCTGTTGATCGATCAATAATGTCAGAATTTTATTTTTTTGTTTTTATTATTAACTAGACTGATATTTATAGCTAACTGGCCTACTTTTGGGTTATTAACTAATAAACTGATCCATAATTGTCGATTATGTTATTGAAGTAAGACAACAGAAATTCTTTTATCATAAATTATTGTTCATGTTGAGATAATTAATGAATTAATGTGATTAAAATGTATTTTATAATTAATATTAAATCATTCAATGTTGGTGGTTTGTCGATTAAGAATGTTGAATTTATTATATTTTATTTACGTAGATATTAATATAGTGCATCTGTAAAATCCAGCCTTTAATCGTTCCATTTTTCTTACAAGAATTGAAAATAAATCCAAAATATTGCTACTACTGAACCAACAACAAACTTGCTTAGATAATATTCTATTATAAGTGAATTATTTTTACGTGAATGACTGACTTTAAAATTGCAAATGCTTTTCATATGAACACAAAATGTATTATGTATGTTTGTGTGCTTTAAAATACTATTTATATAGTCCCGATGTTTTTAGATGTGTAACAGAGCATTATTTAGTCATATGTTTTCATCACACAGGATAGACTGGTCAGATTTTGCTGAATTATAGAAATTTCATCCCACATGAGCATCAAAACCAATCAATCACATGACAGGAACTTTCCATTGACGTCTGCTGTTTAAAACTGAGCTAATGACACTCGCTCTCTCCCTCTCGCCTATCCTCTATGGTTTCATCCTCACTTCCTCCGCCCTCTCAGTTTTCAACACTGGAGACAAACACTGCTGCTGACACTCTTTGCTCCACTCTAACATCTTGCTTAGACAACTTTTTCCCCCTTTCATCCAGACCAGCACGCACCACCTCCTCTGCCCCCTGGCTGTCTGATGTTCTCCGGGAACATCGCTCTAGACTCAGGGCTGCAGAGAGGAAGTGGCGCAAATCAAAACACTCTACTGACCTTAGTGTATATCAGTCACTCCTCTCCTCCTTCTCTGCAAGTGTCTCCACTGCTAAAACGACATACTACCACAACAAAATTAGCAAATGTTCTGACTCTCGCACGCTTTTCAAAACTTTTTCTTCTCTTCTTTGTCCTCCTCCACCCCCTCCTTCATCAGCTTTCCCACAGCATTCAAGCAGGCTCGGGTAAGCCCACTGCTTAAAAAACCCTCTAAATCAAGCACTTTTAGAAAACTACAGACTGGTATCCCTTCTTCCGTTCATTGCAAAGACACTTGAGCGAGTTGTGTTCAACCAACTCTCTTATGTTTCTTGTACAGAACAACCTCATGGACAGCAACCAATCTGGCTTCAAAAGCAGCCACTCAACTGAGACTGCACTGCTCTTGGTTACTGAAGCCCTGAGACTGGAAAGAGCAGCTTCCAAATCCTCAGTACTCATCTTGCTGGATCTGTCTGCTGCTTTTGACACAGTTAACCACCAGATCCTCCCCACCGCTTCATCACAACCTCTCTATACAGCTGGGTTCGTCAGCCATAACTCCTTCCAGGACAGCTGGGAACCTTGGAGTTGTGATGGATGATCAGTTAAGCTTCTCAGACCACATTGCTACAACGGCTCAGTCCTGCAGCTTTGTCTTATACAACATTAGGAAGATTAGACCCTTCCTATCAGAGCAAGCTG